AGGAAGTTATTAAAAAAAAAAGAAAACGGCTCCATACCTTTTCCATCTCTGTAAATGACATCAGAGATGGAAAAGAATGCTCCTAAGGTTGTTTTATGAATGGAATTTTTCCCCCATTAAATAAGTGTATTCAAATAATCGGATTCTTCAAACATTTTTAGATTTAGCCGCTGTTAAATACATCTTAATTTAATTTGAGGATAAAATGGCAGCTTTGAAAATATCTTTTTAAGCTTTTAAAACTTTGATTCATCCTTCGTTTTTGTGGAAATGATCCAGTAAAATGAAATGAATCCTGTAACCTTTTCCGACCTAAACTGGCCTCTTATGCTCCTGTTTCTGCGCTGCAGATTCTGATCGGTTTAGCGACATGACGGACAGTGACGCAGACAACAAGAGGAGGGGCCTGAGGCGGGGCCAGCGGCAGCAGGTCAACTACCGGGAAACATCGGAGTCGTCGGACAACTCAAGGACCTCCACCAAAAGGGAGCAGGTGAAACGGCGAGGCAGACCGCCCAAGGAGCGTTTCTCAAGCGACTACAGCGACGGTGAGCTCATCTCCTTATTGCTCTGGAAGAAACAAGCCATTGTGTGATCTGTGTTTTATCAATGATTATTAAAAAAAAAACATTCCCAGGCCTTTCATATCTATATTTTCTCTTTAGTGTCGGGTTCCTCAAAATACTCTGAGGAGGAGGATGATTATGATGATGAGGAGGAAGATGGTCAGAGGAGAGTGGACAGGAGGAGAAGGAGAGGAGTGGAGGAGGAGCTTCGGAGCAGCAGGACTAAAGAGAAGCGGAAAAGATTTGAGGATGAAGAGCGGGAAGCAGGAAGGAGGAGGCTAAAGAGGAGGCAACTGGGGAAGGGGGGCGACAATGACGACGACGGAAGGAGGGCATCTGCCAGGACGGACAGAGATGAAGAGGATCCGGAGAGGATGGGCAGGGGCAAGAGGAGAGAGATGCTGTCGCAGCAGCGGCGCAAACGGCTCGCTCTCATGCTCAAGAAGCGGAGGCCGTCGACTGACGAGGAGGACGAGGGACAGTCAGAGTCCGACTCGGAAGATTCACAGTCCTCATCAGGAGATGATCGCCCGATCCGTAAAAGACTCAACCGCATCGACTCGGATGACGAGGAAGAGGAGAATCTCATCGATTCGGATGACGAAGCAGAGCGGGATGAAGGACAAAAGACGATGACTAGAAAGTCCTCGGTGGGGGGGCAGAGAGCTGACGACAGAAACGAGGGCGGTTCTCAGGAAAAGGGGACGGGCCGTAGCCTGTCCCCATCAAACAGACATCAGACCTCCAGAGACCCTCCAAAGCCTGGGACTGGAAGCCCAGCTGTGGGCAGAGACGCTGCAGCCTCAGGCCGATCAGAAAGGCACAATGGCCCCAAGCATCCAGCCCCAGATGAGGAGGAGGAGGAGGAAGGCCAGTCAGACTCATTAAACTCTGTCCAGAGCAGCCCGCGGTCATGATGGCCGTGCTGGTGTAAATAAAGGTCACCTGTTTTTGTTTGGTTCTGTGACATCCAGAGATCCGCTCTGAAACCGGGTCCATCTCTCACACCATCCGTCTCACTGTTACTCTGTGGTAGAACGCTACATCCCAGCAGACGGACGGAACACAAACGCCCAAAATCGTCGGACCAAAAGCCTCCCGACGGCTTGTCAAAGAAACCTTCTCAGACTCTGTCCTCTGAGGCACAGACCCCATTGGATCCAAGTAACATGGAAGCAGCCGGATCCTTCCACCGATGGTAACCTGGAGTTGCGTCATTTTGCATCCTAAAGCTCTTCATCCTTCTTATCGCAGAAACAAACCAAACCCTAAAGGAGATTGTTGGATCGGACGTTTTACATGGCGTCATTCTGAGTTTAAATTTCTCCTGATGGGGGAGGCCACTTTTGACTTCCTTATTTGATAAAAAAGAGCCTCAGTCTCCAATATAGCACTGGCTGGACAAAAAAAAACGAAAGATTTTAGGAAATTGTGACAAATATTAAGATTTGATATTTTATTGGTTAAAATAAAAAAATATATATAGCAGATTATTACTACCAGTACTGTTATTACTTCCTATTTATTTAAATTCACAATCCAACATGGGTGTTTTTGCATTTGTACCTCTTTCACTTTTTCACATTCTGTCATGTAGTGAACACAAAGTTCAGCATATCCTTTCTTTTGATTCAAGAAAAGAGAAAATGATGCATGATTCCCAGGATTTCCCCTCTAGAACAAAGTGGTTTTCATTTGTGACTCTAGACTTTATAGATGCACCCACCTTACCGCAGTAAAGGTGGGTTGTTAAAGACAAAATCCCCTAAACGCTTAGAGCATCTACTGTGTGTGGAAAGAAAAAATGGAAACAGTATGGGTTAAATGAAGGTTTAGGTTGTGACTCCAGCTGGGAGTTAAACGAGTTCATCATGAAACCTCAGAATGTGCCTTTTAACATTTACCCAGTCAGACAGCTTATCTTTTAAAAATTTGGCCATTAAAAAGCCCCATAAATTAATCTTTGTGAAAGGAGAAAAAAGGCTTTTTATTTTTTCACTAAGAGCCTCATAGTTTCTACCCCAGCAGCAGAACTCTCTAATAACTGTAGATAAGCTGGATTAAAATACAAGGAGGTATTAAAAAAGGATTGGTTTCTCTAACGAGCTCCTGATGCTCATATCTGACCCCCAATTATAAGACTGGGTGTCTCTCTGTCATAGGGGATGACCTCTAACCCCTCTACTGATTCCAGATTAGATTTAGGTCTACTCGGGTATGGCTGAAACAATTAATCGTGATTAATCGATTATTGAAATAATCGTCAACTAATTTAGTAATCTATTAATCATTAATATAGAGAGTAAAGAGACTCTAAAACATGCCTTAGTGGACAGCGACCCACTTAGAGCAGTAATTATACCAAAATTGTAAAAAAAAAAAAAAAACACAATATGTGCTATCCAGAACTCCTCAAGTGGAAACATTTTAGTTTCATCTGATTTAATTTAGCAAAAAATCCTTAGGGAACCTTTTTCCAACAGATTATTAATCAATCAATCAAAAAAAAAAAAAAAAAATCAACAGATTAATTGATTTGCAAAATAATCATTAGTTGCAGCCCTATACTCAGGTCTTTGAAATTCTAATATGCTTCAGGTTAGATTTAAAGGGATGTTTACACACACAGGTGGACATTCTGGAGGCAAATACTGGTTTAAATCTATGCATCTAGGATCAGGAGTTACTGTCTTTTAGAAAATATTAATGCTTTGAAGCTTGTGGTTCAATTAAAAAGTTAAAGAGGTACGTTTATTTTTGCAAAGCACTGTGTGAGGTTTAATTGCTAAGTGATTATTACATATATTTTTACTTTACTAAACACTGCCCCACCCCCCACCAAACATTTTATTCAAATGTAAACTGAGTTTGGTTTCAGTGTTCAGTTTCAGGTTACTTTTGTGGTTTTTTTTCTCCCAAAACTTGGACCTGAAGGGTCCATGTTTGCTGTACATACAGTCTCTGCGTTGTCCATTGTAAGATAATAGATGTCCTGTTTAGTCTTCTTGTAAAATATAGTGTTATATTTTCTATAAGAAGGTAAGGAGGGGGATGCTGCTGCCAGTGATGTGTTCAGATCCACCTGCTTTCCGCAGTTTTCTTTTGAGAGTTTGTTGTGGAGAAAAAAACAAAACCCTTGCGCTCAAGAAAAATAAGCCAAGTTTAATGATTACGTTTTTATTTTAATGTGTGTTTGGAGCCTGAAAGAGCTGAACACTACTTACACTTAGATACTTGTTTATTTTGGTTTTTATATAGATTTTTAACATTTCGAGTCCTGATGGATGTAATAAAACTAAACAAAAAACACAACAAACACCCTGATTATTTATTTGGCAGGTCTTAAGTCTGGTTCTTCTGATTATTGGAGTCGAACTAAAATACTTTGAGTCAAATAACTTCAGAGTGCTTCAGTTAGGCTTTTAACGGTAGGAGACTGATTATTTTTGCCTGTTATAAATAACCACACATATGTATTTTCTATTAAAAAGTCACGTTTTCTGCAAAAGAATGAGGGTAAAAACACTACATATGCAGTACATACAGTAACATACAGCATACAGGTAAAACAACACGCATCCATTGATTCCCCCCATTTTAGTACAACAAACCGTAATCGCCATATTATACATATATTTTTCTTTCTCATTAGTAATTATCCTGTTTATTTCAAGTTACTTATCTTCCAACAGCACAGAGAAAAACATACAGGAAAATATATCAAATCCTGGAGCTGGATTACTATTGGTTTGCTTTGACTTTTAGTAGCGACGCATCATAAAGTGTTTACATAGTGGCTTTATTTTTCCAAACTTTATAAAGTTCGAACTTTATAAAGGTATACTTTAACTTTATAAAGTTAAAGCATAACGTTTTTTGGTCAGTTGTGCTTGGCAGTAGATATATCAGAGTTTTAGTTACAGAAAAATGGAACATGATCTGCCTAATAAACACCTTTTATGTCTTTTTTTTTATACAGCTGCAGTTTTGGTTTTCTAGCCTTTTTTCCCTCCTTTCTTTGGTTTTCTGATAAGGACTGCGATATATTTAATGCTATATTCTGACCCCTGCTAGCTTTGATTGAAACTACTTTACTTACTGTCGAGTCATCTCCTTATGTACAGTTTAAACTTCAAAATGTTGGTATTTCTGTCCACTTTTAATCCGGGTGCGTCTCACTGCTGTAGGACTTTTTAATGTCAGATCCTCTTCAGGGTCTAAACAGCCCCAATTCTGCTTTTAACTATATTTAAACAAAACTTACGTCAAAAAAAAAAACAGGCCCCATAGGCCACCTTGCTGCACTAGAGGTCAGAATTACCATAGCAACCAATGATGCAGCATTTTACTAAGATTTCCTAAGTTTAGCCTCCTTTGTTTCTGGCAGAAATGTGACCAGGAAGATTTTAGGAAACCTGTTCATCGAATCTTGCTCCCTTCCGCTTCCTTTTTTCCCCCAGTACCTTGAAAGAGATTTCCAAACAAAGTCGCCGCCGACTGAAATCCAGCAGGCAACCAAACATCTAGGCTAAATAAACTCCTTTATCTTTTTGTAAGCAAACTTTATTGAGAACAATTCACCATCTAAAACTCTTTAAACAGCCAATGGGTTGATTTACGGATGTGAAAACAGCTCCTCTGTTGTTAAAAAAATGCCAAGTATTTCATTGATGTTTATACATAAATGTGTTTTGCCTTTTTTTTCCTGTTAATTCCACTTGTTGCACGACAGAGTCTAAAATGTTGGTCAAAAAATGATTTATTAAAATAGTTACATATTTTTTAAAGTTTATTAGTTATTGTTGCTTGTGCCTGAGAAAAAGGAAAAGCTAAAACTAATAATGACCTGGATAAAGGGGAGAAAAAAAGAATATACAGCAGAAAATGTTAAATTATTGAGCATTAATCATGTAAATGTGAGATTTTTGTTACAAGAAGTTTTTTTTTTCAGAAGCCACCTGAAAACTGAGCAGATTTGTTTGTTATCAGAAGTATCTTTAGCTTTTTTAAACCTAACCGCAATCAGGTTTTAGTTTAGCTCCAAGTAAATAACCAAATGTTCTTTCAGGTACTTCCCTGTTGTTGTTCAACTGTAGGATTACGTTACAATAAGCACCTGTAACTGGGTTTCAGTAGCTCCTAAACATCTTTTCTTCTCATCGGCTAGTTTAAACGATTTCCTTGATGCAGATATTAGCAGGTTTGTATCAGAGTTTGATGCTTGTATTTCTGTGGCCACCGGTCCAGCATCATTCCAGTCAATCTGCTGTGCTTCGGTTTCCACCATGTTTAAAACTGGCACCGCTGGATGTGAATACAGGTCCTTCCATTTTTCTCTGTTGTACTGTTACTGTAGTGCTGCTGTAACAAATGTTTTCTAAATTATTAAAACCAACATCTCCAACAAGTCCTACAATCAACACTGTTTTGTTTTGTTTTACTTTAGTACGTTTTCCCTTCTCTGACTAAAAATACTCAATATTTGACATCTCTGCATGAAAAGATCCACCAGAAATCATGTTATGGAGTAACTTTGTGACGTTTTTCTTTTGTCAAATATATATATTGAGCTTCTTAAATTTTTTTTTTTTTTTTACACAAAACTAGAAAGCCAACCATTAATACAGAAGGGAAAAAAGAAAAAGAACAAAGTCCATGGTGGCCATCCAAAATGTGTAAGAAACCTTATTTAGAGTCAAAATGCAGAGATAAGTGTTCTACATGGGAAATAAACAGACACCATGTTGTTTCAAACTTAGTCATTTATCCATTCAGTGTATCTCGTTTTTTTACTCTTTTAAAGAAATATATCTATATATCATATCACACTGAAAAAAACTGAATCTAAATACAATGTTTTTTTCTCAACATAAGTGCATTTTTTCTTGAATTGAGGTAAGTGAAACACTTTGCCAATGATATAAGACGATTCACATTTAAAATAAGAAAAGAACATCTGAGTTGTCTCATTTCAGGTGTTCATTCCATTGTCAAATCATTGTACCTACCTACTCAAATTAAGGTTAAATACACTTACCGGTAATTTAACATTCAATTTATATCCTAAAAAACTGCCAAAAACTTTAAGGATATTAAGAATGTGTGGAATGGATGTGAGAGGATCTGACACATACACGAGGACATCGTCTGCATATAGAGAAATTTTATGTTCCTGGTCGTCTCTGAAGATCCCTTTGATATCCGTACACTGTCTAACAGTAGCTGCCAAGGGCTCCATCACCAAGGCAAAGAGCAATGGGGAGAAGAAACTATGGTGAATAAGTGCTATTGGTGCTGACAGAATCCAATGGGGAAGTATATAAAAAGTTGACCCTGGAAATAAAAGGATTTGCAGTGAAGCATTAAAATTACTATTGGGCAGAGCAACTATGAGAATCGTTGCCTTTTTTTTTTAAGAGAAGGGATATAGATGTCTGGTGCATTGTTTTTGGGAGACACTTGGAGTTTAAACTCCATTGCATGCATCTTTTAGCAAAGGGTCTAATTTACCAGATAACTTCTTATAAAATTCGGAACGAAAGCCCTCCGGACCTGGTCATTTCCCACTTTGCATACATGAAATTGCATGATTAATTTCCTGCAAAGAGATGGATTTATCTTGGGATTCCCTAAACGTATCTTCCACAGTAGGAATATCCAGCCCTTAGACAAAACTGTCGATTAGCCACGGATCAGGAGGAGGTTCAGAAGTATATAAATTTGAATAAAACTCAGAAAACGGTTTCATTAATATCCTCTGGGTGTGATTGCAGTCGACACAGATTCGATTTGATCTATAACATGAATGGTGGTTATATGCCTAAGACTGTAGGCAAGAGCCTTGCTTGGTGTTTCTCCGTAATCATATAACCTATGTTTACATTTCAGCATGGCACGTTCAGATTGGCCAGTTGAAAGCATTTCAAATTCAGCTTGAAACAAAAACTGTTTGTACAATTCAAGGGATGGGGAATTTGCCTAGATATGTTTATATCAGAGATGAGATCAATTAGTTCTGTTTGTGTGGCTCTATGCAATTTATGTGTAGATGCGTGAAGGGGAATAATCTGTCCCCTCAAGAAGGCCTTTAAGGTCTCCTTAAGCAGGGATGGGGAAGTTTCATTATTTAAATTAGTCTGTAAAAATATGTCTATGTAGATACTAGCAAAAGTAACAAATTCATCTGACATAAGAAGAGGGATCTTTTCGGTTTAAGAGGTTTAAAATCAGCGTCACAGGAGCATAGTTAAATATGACCATACTACTGTAATCACACAACTCTACAAAAGAGTAATGTTTGACGTATGAAGAAATAATCTATGCGTGAACAGGTGCTATGGACAGTGAAGAAACCTCCATGGGTCAATCAAAGGACAGGACTGCAAAAGGCTTTCTATACGATCGGCTGTTTTGGATTTAGTGACGATATGAGTGAAAGATCTATCTAATAACAGATTCATTACACAACTACAGTCAGCTGCTAATATGAGCTAATAGGTTTCCAAATATGGTATAGTTGACAGAGAAATATTCACAAACTTAGAATCATCCCAATTAGGGGCATAGACACAGGCTAATGTTACAGGCAGGCCATAAAGTTTGCCCAGCACAATAACAAAACGACCATTAGGATCCGATATGGTTTCAGAGGAAATAAATTGTTGTGATTTGCTGATTAAAATGCCAGATCCTCATACCTTTCCTTGGAAAGTTGAATGATTCACCTGTCCCATCTAACCTCTCTTCAGAGCAATGCACCCAGACCCTCGTATATGTGTCTCAGTAGGGAAATTATATCAGGTTTTAGGAACTTAAGGTGTGCTAAACCTTGTAATGCAAGCTGGATTGTCGCAACATCTGAGTTTTCAGTCTCACAACAGACTCCCACTAACCAACCGGCTTGTAACAACCTGCGAGTCGGACCAATGACATGCCAGCAGTGTTTGATAACATAGAACTCAACTCAGTTCTACACATTAATTTGGCTTCTGCCAGCTTAGGTGGGCTAGGACCTTGGAGCGCTTGATGGGATGGCTTGTTGGGATGGTTTAGACTGTTTACATGCCAATTGGTAAATTTAATTGACTGCCTACTCTTACCGCACAAAGTATTTAAGCAAGCCATGAGTGACATTGATCCTGCTAGAAGGATGACTCAGATAAAGGCAAAAAATTAAATCATACAACTGTAGGTGGACCCAACAGAAAACACGACAAGACCTTCGGATGGAGAAAAAAAAACAAGAAATAAAACCCCTCCATTCTGCACTAACAAACATAGTGCATACACCCTCCTGCGATTAGCCAACATTCACCGTCTTGGGTTTCTAACAAACAGGGAAATAATAATAAATAATAACAGGCCCAAGCCTCTATAAGCAAGAGTCAATGACAAAAGTAACAGTTCAAAATACTACAAGTGAATGGTCAAATAGGCAGTAATAATATCCTCTTTAGAATAAAGGATGCACTGCCTTGCTGATAGGCACCAGAATGTGCAGGTTGAATACTGTTTAAAATCAGCGGATCACTGCTGCCACTGGGCCCATTATAACCCATCAGCAAACATTTTCAGAGAAAGTGTTCAAAGGAAATCACATAACTTGGCAATGGCCTAAAATGTTCACGTCGATCAAATTAAGGCACATAACATTAAGTCTGGCTGCAGCAGAAGAATGTTCTCCTATATGTAGGATAAGGTCAGATCAGGATTTCGCCTCCTCTTTGAAAGTGATGCGATGTAGCTGGAAAATTAAGCCCAAATTTCACATTCTTGGTGTTTTTTAAGGAGCTCTTCGCCTTCGTGAAAGCTGTGCGCACTTTTTCTCCACTTCTGGAGCGAAGTCGGGAAAAATGTGTACTTGCTTCTCCTTTTAGAAAAGCTTCTTCTTCTGACCAGAGATTTGGAGGATGTGAGATGATGAAGGGTCTCCTGCACAGGGTTTTGTTGCCAGTGAGCGATGACCATGGTCCAGACATGTGGTGTATTCAAATCTCTTTCAACACATTGGTGCAAAACTGTCCTTGGTCTCTCCCTTCCTCTATTCCACTTAGACGGATATTCTGGCGACGGCTGCGACTCTCCAGATCCAAGAATTTCTCTGTCAAGTGCACACTTTTGATTGCAGACGCTCCACTGTAGTTTTAAGAGTCCTCACTGTTGAGGTCCGCTCAGTGGCAGCTTGCTCAAGTTCATCAACACGCTTAGCACGCTGGGCATTAGCTGACTGCAGAGAGCTGACAGTGGTGTGCAACTTCTGATGAATGGAGACTATTTCTTGCTGGAGGGCAGCCATCTGAGAGTCCATTTTCGAGGCTAGCAATTCAATCGCCGTAATAATCTTATCGACTGCATCTGAAGAAAGCAGAGATGCAACATCCTCATTGGCAGAGCTAGACGCTTTCTTGATAGCAGCTAAATTAGCAGCTTTGCGCTTTGGCTTCCAGACATGTTTTAAGAACAGCTCTGTGTAGATGTAATATTTTCTACTCAACTGAACCGACAGATGTTATATACCTTCAAGACGAAGTTTTAGCTTATTTATCGTTTTTATGTACTCTTATAATTGATTACATTTACAGTTTTATGCAGAGATCATCGACCTTGCGGCCTCACATGTCCATTCCCCCCTGGGAAACCTAAAGTTTTTAATTTTTAGGAAAACATACAGCACTAAAGAAACCAAAAAATTCAGTATTTTAATTACTGTTGATTCATTACACTAACTTAAATTTTTTAAGACTATGTTTCTTACAGACATACAGATAAGGAAGAAAAATCTAAATAGTAAAAAACATCAAGACGTCATCAGTAAAACATTACAAGATGTTTATAGAAAGTTTAGAAGTAAACAAGAAGTTGAGAGAACAAAAGTATTCTGGAGTCAAACGAGAAGCCATTTGTCTGACGGCTGCTGCTTGGCCCAAACCGAGTCAACGGGATCATGACCCCAAACAGATGTTCTACTTTAAAAACAGAAAAGAGTTCAGATGTTATAATGGCTCAGTTAGAGTCCAGACTGCACACTGCAAAACTTAATGAATTGATGCTGCCTCAAACAAAGGCCTAGATCACAGGTAACAACGGCGTGAGAGATGGAGGAGGTTATAAAAGCTTTTTTGGAAGATTCTTCATACAAACAAAATTACATTTTTTTCTCTCATTTTTTTGCTTATTATATTAAGCTTTGGAATTAAAATAATTTCATAACCAAGTTATCTTTACAGGGTTTTAATGTAAACACACTTCCCATTATTGCAGTCTTTTCAGTACAACAAAACCCACATTTTTTAAAATCCTCCTTTAGGTGACTTCATGCCTCCATTCCTTCTAAATGTTCATTGTTACTTGTTTAAGCCTCTGTCTGTTTTTCCTTTGCGCGTGTGTGCAAAGGTGTGTGTACTCTGTGCTCATTTTGTTTCATTTCAAATGTTAAACACAAACAAAATGTAAGTCTGTTATTGTCGAACACAACCAGCAGCACAGTTTAGTGCAAACACAGATACTGTTTTTAATCATCTAAACCTTATTCATGTCGAAAGATGGTCGAACTGAAAATCGTTGATTGGAAAGGTTTAATAAACTCATCTTGCATGTACAAATCAACACACAGCTCTGTAAGGCTTTATATTAAAACATTACATCATGAATCAATAACCATTAAGCAGAACACATTAAAAAAAAAATAGAAACAATTCATGAACCGATTTATGATCGGCTCTACGGTTAGTAAAGTGGTTCTTACCCAAAACAAACAGCTGGGTTGGTCATTTATTCTCACCCAGGGAAATGAACATGCAGCCTTGTGTAATAGCAGCAGTGACGTATAAACCGGCGTTAGCAGGAAAAGATTACAGCTGTGTTTAACCTGAAAAGGTTATTAGGTTCTGGGAAATGACTTCATTTAATTGAGGTTGTAAACAATGCTAATATAGAGCATCATGCTAGGAGGCAACCTTAGGAATACATGTGTTGTCATGTCTATAAATGTCACAGTGAGATCAGGCTTCAGACACAGGTTTCTTTGGAACACAGCGCCACCTTATGGCAGAAGTGGGAGATCTCTACTGCAACATTAGTTTAATAAGAAACTGTAAACTTTTAGGCACATTATTTCTGGGAAACCTGTTTGATCTCCTTGAATTGATTTCTATCTGGACCAAACAAGGTTTGCATAGCTCATCCAGGCCACAGTTTAAACTTCATTATGAGGCATGTCGCGCGCAAATCAGAAGCAAAATCTGCATCTACAGGATAATACCGGAGGCACCTGATCAACAACCCAGTCAGCCTGACATCAAGCCTTCCTGGTTTAAGATGCTTCTTGTACGTAATTCTGCAGTTCTCTGCAGAATCGTAAGCTTTGCACCGATGCCATAAGCAGACGAGGACATAAATTTAATACAATTATATCAAAAAGTGTTCATAATCTACAATTTCAACCAGATTTAACAGAATTGAGATAAGAGCTTTAAAAACAAGCATATTATTTAAAATATAAAGTGCCACAAATAGAGAAAAAGCTTAAAAGGTGTTCAATTCTTACTCCCATTTAGATGGAGCGCATAAACTCAATACTCTTAGTAAACATGTAAACAATATTCCTATGGCAACAACAAATCATTAATGTTTTTTTTTTTTTTTTTAAGTGGTGATTAACCCAAAGGATTTGTTTCGGTGTTCTGATTGGCAAACATTGTTTTTAAACTGAAATAGGATGTTAAAAAATGAGAATGTTATGGTGGCCCGGTGAAGATAAAAACAACCAATCAGCATTAGATGCTGGTCAGAACCGAGCTGGTTTCTAAAACCAGGGTGATGGTACCAGGGAGGTCGTTTTCGTTCCGGTCGCCTTTATCCTTCAGGTGAAACGTCTGCTGGATTTTTCCCTCCTCGGCCGGCAGAGTCACCTGACCCAGGAAGCCGTCCTTTAAAACGTTGCGGTTGTATATCTGAGGGAAAACATGAACGAGGTGGTCAACGTCTTCGTCCTGATTAACAAACACGTCCAGAGAGAGCAACACAGACCTCAATGCTGACTGGTCGGTTGGCTTTCTTCCTGTAGAAGAGCCCCTTGGTGTTGAAGTTGGGGCTGCATGTGTTCTCAAAGACTGGTGAGCGAACCTTCTCTCCTTCACAGCGAATGATCACGTAAGGATCTGAGACTGGAGACACACAAACTTTCCAGTTCATTTTGTATTCAGGACATCAAATTAATCACTGACCCACGTTTGTAGGTTTTGACAATAATAAATCAGCTTCAAGCTTTTCTAACACAATTTGTAACACAGATGCTACTTGAATTTCAGCCGCAGTTTTTTCTCGTCAGTAAAAGCAAAGTTTTGCACTTCTAGTTCCCTGATAAAGAAAAAAATAAAACCTAAAATGTTTGAAGGCTACTCTTTATTGAACCATTTGAGAAGTATCCTCATAGAATCGTTTGATTTCAAGACAGGAATGATATCAACAAATCCTCCTCTTTCAGTTGCATTTATGAATTTGAATGAAAGCCAAGGAGACACTAAGCATCCAGATTCTAGATCTTATTTGATTGACTGAACTTTATTGATCTCACATTGGAGAAATCTACCACTGCATTTAGCAAATCCCCTTGGGGAGCAGTGGGCTGCCATCGTGGGGCGCCCGGGGAGCATTCAGGGGTTTAGGGTCTTGCTCAGAGACCCAGAGTGGCAGTCTGTGGGAGTGGGGTTCGAACTCAGAACCGGAGGATTCCAAGCTCTATGCCCTAACCACTAGGTCGATGCTCCCCCTTGCTGTAAGGCAACAATTCTACAGGGACACATTTTTATTTCTTTAGTTTGTTTTAGTTCTGTAACTTTAGAGAATCAGTGTTTTCTGTTTTCTGAAAAAATATGCACCATCTAGTTGAAAAGATAAAAGAATTTTGTTCTGGGCAGCATTTGGCAAGTAGATTTGACAGTTTAATTGGGGTCTGAATTATTGGGAAATTTAAGGACCTCCGCCTGAGTCTTGTCCTGTGAGTCCGTCAGCCTGCACCACATGGACCTGAGTGACAAGTGAGGGGTAGCCACACATCCCAGACCAGCAGGTCTTTCGAGGCCCATCAACAGTCAGCTCCCTGTGGGACAGACACAATGCAACAGAAGGTCTGTCTATATAATGTCGTACTTTAAGTTGCAGGCTGAGTTGTCATAATGATGTTTCCGTACTTGCAGTCAGTAGAAACGTCGGCAAAGACGCGAAGCAGAAACTCTCCTTCCAGGCCGGGATCAAACGTGGTGGGAATGATGACGTAACGGCCCTCTGCCAGCTCGATGCGTAGAAACACAGACCTCGCGTTGATGTAGACGCTTCCTCCAACCTTCTGCTGGACAGCATGCATACGGTAGGTCCTGTTCAACTCCACCTGAACACAGTTAATCAACTTAAATCTTAGTTGCACGATTAACGCGGCACTCATTTTATACCTTGACATGGATATTTCCCTAATACCCTCTCTATGTTGAAACCAATCGCCAGGTTTTCTCCTTGCCCTTCTTTCAGGGTGGCTCTGCGGTCTTTTTGCTGAAGACAGATCAGTATCTCATCTTTTGGCTTCTTCACGTCGAACACGTACTGCAACATGAAACGATGAAAGATATACACACGTTTACACCTGAATTAGAGGCTGTCGATCAGGTTCCCCTGGTATAAAACTGAAGAACACCTGTGGGTTCTGAAGATAGGTTTGCTTATTATTGGCGCAGCCTCCAGCACGATTGCGAAGCGGGTCATCATGGCGGCGCCAAGAACCCCGCAGCACGGCTTCCTCCCACGTCTTGTGTAAACTCAGATAGGATGTGTTAATGAGACGACAGAGGATGAGGTCTGTGAAGTTGGTAACGAAGTCATCAAATGTCATCCTGTGGTAAAAAATGAGCAGAAATTAACATAAAAGTGAAGGAAGCAGTCAGAAAAAAGTTTAAGTAGAACCAAACTTTTATTTAAAATATTTATAGCAGTAGTTGCTGTGAATAATTGTAGCTAACCTTACTTGGCCAGTAGGTGGCAGAGTTGAACTGAAACTCACCAGAACTCTCCATCATCCTGCACTGTGACGCCCATACTCTCCCTCTCACCCTTACTGACTTTCTTCCACTCCTCAGAGCTGAAAAACAACATAAAAGGTTCAGTAATTAAACCGGTTTGTGAAACTACGTCATAAAAGAAACAAAACAGATGTGACTAAATTTGCATAGCTAAAATGAATCAGGCTAAAGTTTAACATTTAAATGGTGAAGCATTATCTGATTAAACTGATTCTTCAGTTTGAGATTATTGTAGTTAATAGGTCTGCATTTATACTGGGAAAACCATGTCTCCAAAGATTTTTAAACCCACTACATGATTGTGTTACATCATGGAAATAATCTATCAGGAATAGGACTATGGACCTCTACAGGTGTGGTTTGAACTCAAGTACAATTTCTTGATGTCTGAAGGTGTAAAGTTTATCTGTTCAACTACACACAGATCTAAAGAGTGTAGATTGAACATCCATCAAGCTAGTCAGGTGAAATACTAGTGGAAGGGTTTTAGTGAGACTCATTTTAGAAGAAAAACAAATGAGGATGTGAGAGTCATATCCACAGTGAAATAAGAGCTGTACTGACATGGGCTGAAAAGCCACTGAGTGAGGAACAGTCCAGAGTATAGAAATTATTTACAAGGCGGCTTAAAGATGAGAACATTAGGGTTTTAGAGCAGCCATCATGTAGCACTGATCTCTGTGCCATAGAACGTCTGTGGTCAGAGCTATAAAGGGTGTGTGAAATCCAACCAATCAGACTCCATTACAGCAGGAGGAATGGGACATAGTTGTAATGAACCACTGTGAAAAGCTTGTCAACCAGATTAAAAAGCCAATCAAACCATTTCCATCAATATGTATGTAAGCTAATACATTTGAAAAAATTGACCTCTGATTTTAATGATTAGTACAAAGAGATGTTACCAATAACCAATGCAATAACAGTAGATGCAGCCAGGGTGTTTGATTGGTGCAATTCCTGAAGCAACTGTCTCACTAACTGACTATTCTGCAACAAATGAGGAGAATCGAGGTAAACGTTGCTCAAGAATCTAATTATTTAAAAATAACAAGGAACTGTTTTAATTTTTGATGTTTCATAGAGGAATTTCAGGTTGGTGCTTTAAATCTCTGTCCAGTGACAAATGGTCCACTGTTTTTTTTTTTCCCAGGGTTTTATTGTCATCACACCGTCACAAGTACAGAGCAACGAAATGAAGGCCCAGTCCAATTTTGTTCAGAGTTTTCGTGCTTGTTAGGAAATGCCGGCTCCAGCAGTTATTTTACCCATTGCTTGAGCCCTGAGGACCTTTCTCCGTGTGGCCAACCAACTTTTCTTTTCAGGGCTTTCAGCACAAAATTACACAAATTGCCAAGGCAGTGCGTTTCTCTATAGTGAGTTTGATATTCCCCTTCTATTTGTTTGGCTTCCGGAAAGACGAGTCAGATCAGCTCCATCTCACTGCAGAGCTGAGTCCGACTTGGTTTTTAGCCGTACAGTGTGAGCAGGTAGATTGCCTGACAGCGTTGTGCTGCACATACATTGTGAGATGTGAACTCGCACTGTACGACTAAACCCTATGGTTAGTCATACAGTGTGTGCAGTAACTACGTGCCACGATTGAAACAAATCGCAGTGTAAGCCCGGCTTGAAAGGAGAGCAATGGGGACATAATGCATTCACAAATATGCATCTCAAAGTGCTAAAAGATGGTTAAAAAAGATGAAAATGATCAAAACTAGATTAAAATGATAAGTTATTGATTATTAGACCTGGAAAGCTACCTTTGTCTAACAGATTTTAGTCCAGGAATCAGTCTCCAGATGTTAATTAAGCTCTAAACACCAATTTGTTACCTTCATTACCTGCTTCAAAACATCTGCTTGACCCAAAATATTTCAAACCAACCAAGAATCTTAATGACCTAACACAACATATCCGTGCTTTGTATGGTGCTATTAAAAATACTCAGGAAGAAAGAGAATTTAAGAACCTCTCTTGTGTACTTAGTTAATACTGTGCATTTTACTGAGATTTTTTCAATTCTTCTTCTCTCCTATGTCCCTTTATGAGGGTTTCATGCTGTCTGGTTGCTGTTTATTTTCAGCTTTATTTGTTTAAAAACTTGCCACAATATCTAAGTTCAGTCATGGTGTTTTGGTTTACTTGCATAAAGATCACCTGCATTTTTCCCATCATTTTGTGGAGCATGCAGCTGAGCATAAATTGCCCTGATTTTTCTGGTCTCTAGAAGAAGCTCTTCTCCAGTGCGATCGCAACATAAAGCTGTGTAATCTTCAGGAAGGGAGGTTTACCTGTCGCTCCAGGGCCCGTTCCACTCTCTCTGACCCCAGGGGTTCCTCATGCGGATCATGTTGAGTTTATCTGACTTGAAGTAGGCCAGCAGGCCATGGCCGAGCCTTACTCTGCGGATATCAGTCACAGCATAAGCGTGGCCTTTCACCAGGCCGGAGGATAGTTTAGCCTCCATGTCCTCTGCGGTAACTGCCTGGAAGAAGAATTCGTTTTTTAGTTTCAAACATTCATCCACTGTGGGTTTGCCTTTGTCTCCTTCTTACCCGGATGGAGCAGCTGATCAGGCCTCCTCTGCTGTGCACCTTTAGGACTCTTTCAAACAACTCATTCCGTTTCTCCTCATCGTCTTTGTACCCATTCTCAATCAAGTCCATCGGCTCACAAATGCCCCCAGTAAAATCCACCAGAGCGTCAGCTGTGTTGCCCCCGTCCAGAGCTTCGTAGCATCCATACATCCTGAAAAACACAGACAGGAAAACATCCAGTTAGTTCACTCATCAGTTAGGCCCTTAAAAAGTTCATTGTTTTGATTTTATTTCAATAATAAAAAAATTAAACACTAACTTAATGCTTTATTAAATGATGAACCAGTGCCAGGTAAATTTATTCTATTGTTATACATTTGAACCAAATAAATCTCTATTAATCCCAAAGTGAAATATAATGTAACTCTTGCAGGCGTTTCTTTAACCAGTGTGTTGATGGCTGAAGGCAGAAAGGATCTCTGTAGTGTTCTGTTTCTGGAGAATCCTCTGACTGAAGGCGCTCTTCTTTTCCTGACAGGCTGATGAAGAGGAGGCCCAGGCTTTTCCATAACGTTCTTCATTTTATGAAAAATCCACAATTTTCATACGGGTGCTCAGAACAGAGCCTGCCTTCTTAATGAGTGTTTGTCTTTTTTAAAGTCCCTACCTCTAATGCTGCTACCCAAAAAAGAAGAGGAAAATCTTACTTTAAACATCAAAAGAAGTGCAGCTTCTTGCAGCAAACACATTGGTACCTAAGCTCCTAAAGGAGAACAGTCTGCTGTGGAGTTGCATCTACAGTCTACATTGTTGTGCAGGTGTACAACAAGATACTCCAACTTCTCCATCCCTACCTAATCAATAACAAGGTAATGGTGTTTAACCCTTTCTTGTTTCTTTTTTCTACAATCTCCTACCTTGATTTATTTACATTTAGAATAAAATTAATATTTCCAGTGCATTGATACCATTGATAGTATTTATCATGATTATTTTGATTATTGAAATAATGTTGACCTCAATTAATGTCACACAAACACTGAAACATGTCAGTTGCCAAAAGAATAACCAACTTGAAGAAAAAATAAAACAAAACATCAACATTTTACATTTAAAACAGAAAGAGAGAAAACAGGAAAGATGAAAAGGAAGACAAAGAGGTTGAAGACAAAAAAAGGACAAGAAAAAGAAAATTTTGTAAATTAAAAAATCATGACAGAAACCCTGAAAGATAAAAAAAAAAATGGATGTCTCACTTGGCATAGGCTTTCTCCACCAGAGCGCTCCAGAACTCATTGTTGTCATTGGAGTGGCAGTACACCAGCTGTCCGTTCACCGTTGGAAGCCGGTCATCAATCACCACGTCTACCCACTGACCGAACCGCCAGAACTGGAAGTGAAAGATTCCGGCGTACGAGTCAGGGTTTTCTTTGTCCCACTCCTGGTCCTTCCAGTCTGGAATTACCTGTCAGAATAAGAGAAAAATGCAACTCTGATCCTCAGCTTCAGTTTTAAAAGTTAAACTTTTCCAGAACAAATACAGTGTTGGCTAAACATATCAATTCCATCCAGACTAACTGAAAATTGCGTAGCTCATTCTTCCAGTTAAGCTACAATCGCCCAAAGAGCCGGCTTCTAAAACTTTTATCACTGACCAGATGTAACGTGTAAATAGCCAAGTTTTCTTTAGTTATAATAACACTTCCATTTGCATAAAACTTTTTAATCAGGGGAATATGCCATCCTTCCATCTCTTTTGCCAAATCCCTGTTGACGACATATTAACGTTGATGTAACAGCCCAACTTAAACCTGATTGAGGTGAGCGATATAAATAAATACCAGATCCACTGAGCTGAGACGAGCAGAGCTCCCAGAAGCCCTCAGGAAATTCTCAACGTTCCCTCTTGGACGTCATCACTATCCCAGTTGCCTAGCATCTTCAAACATCACTCACCAACTCAACACCTTGAAAAAACCTCTGAGATTTTTTTATCTAACTACCAGACATTTCCCAGAGTATTCTGTTAGGGGGGGATATTTCCACTGATATAAAGACGAAATATAAAATAAAAAAAATTGTAAAAATCATATATTTAGAAAATATATAATACTTCAGACAACGTGATCAGCAATCCTAACTTAAAGTCCCGGATTAAAATGATTCTAGTTAAATTAGATTATTAATGTAATATTTGAAGGATTTTGAGTTAAAACACTTTTTAAATTTCTTAATATAAATGAGAAGTTGTTTTCAGCCAGACTCTGAAGTCTGTAATCCAGTCAGAACAATTGTCATTTTGGGTCGATCTCATGTCCTGTTACTCTTCCCCATCCATTCATTACAGTCAATATTTCCAGACTAAACTACCCTGTGGGCAGGTGGGGCGGGCGGAGGCTGGGGGCTGAAGAGAGAAACTCAAACAATGTGATGGAAACAGTTCGGAGGGGAGGAGGAGCTGGAGTATATGACAAGTGGGAGGGAGGCATTGAAGAGAGTGAGATTAGGCACTCCACCAGGACTCCATCCATCTGCAGATCCCTACATACATCCGAGCCTTTTCCTTTCAGAATCGAGGAATACGACTTCAAAGACGGAAATGAACCAGCAAAGACAATCCTCTGAGAAGTTGGTGCTGGACTTTAAGGAAGACACGGCTCTGACCGAGGTGAGATTTCACTTTTTAATTACAACTCCTTACTTTCTCAGATAAACGACAGCAGCTTCAGAAAAAAAAAAAAAAAGTTAGTACTTTACGCTTCAGAAGAGAAATCTCTGCTCATAATGCTAAAATGACACCTTTAGAAGTGAATGACACGTTATTTTATGTGTGCAATGTTTGTATTTAGTAAACTAAGGTGATTCTGCTGTTGTGGGTTGTTTGGAGGTTTCTCTTAGATTCATTAAGAACTAGAGGTAAAGTTTATATTTGTAAATGCTTTCTATTTAACTAGATGCAACTGTTATATTTCTCTAAGCCTTTTCAAAAGTGTAACGAAAGCTTTACTGACCCTCAGCCTTAAAAGATGTTTCAGTAATGCCAGTGAAATGCAGCAGCCACAGATGCTCTGTTTGAAGCTGATGTGTTTTTCAGCAAACGCTGAGGGTCATCCAGCTGAATCAATGTGTGCCTAACATCACTATAGCTAATGCTGGAATTGATTTTTCTAAAATCATGCATCTGATTGGTCAGGGTGACTAATCATAGGGAGGCTGTTGGTCACAAAGGCCCAATACAAAGTAAATATGAGCAATATCATTCTAGTAGCATTTTAAGGTGCACTAGGCCAACATTCTCCACAATATCTATGCCACTGATCTATGCCTCTGAAAAGGCGAGTCATTAGGATCATTGTTGGCCTGGCTGACCAAGCGTTTTGTGCTCCTGCATGGCAATGGGGGTTCAGATGATAGCGGGAAGGAATCAACTCTATCCCTGCGTTGTAGGTTTTTGAGAACTGGAACCTAAGACCAGGTTTAGCGGTTGTTTGGTTTCTCCAATATAATGTTTCTCAAATATGTCTCCCTACTATCGTTAGAGGAGCTTTATCAAACACCAGCAGAACTGTCTTTAACAAAGTGTAGCTATAGAGCATTTCTTGCTCATCCAAATCTTCTCTGTTTTCTTTGCAGATGATGCGTCTCCGCGTCTCGTCTCTTCAAAAAACAGGGCAGAAGCGTCAGGACGGTGAGCGTCTGCTCCTCCCTTATGAAGCGGTGTATCGTCTGGACTTCCCTGTCCAAGAGCTGAACTTCTCCCGCTGGTACTTCTCCCTCTCAGGCCACGGCCGGGTCACCATCACCGGCATTTCCCAGCACTGGACCCCCGATCTTACTAACCTGATGACCCGTCAGCTTCTGGAACCGATCGGGACATTTTGGCGAAATGCTGAGGACCCTGAGGAGTCGCCACTCAAGTGGCTGGAGGCAGACATGCAGGAGTTCGGGGAAAGGATTGCGGAGTTAGCTAAAGTGAGGAAGGTCATGTATTTCCTGTTTGCTTTCAAGGATGGGTCCACAGCAGCAAACCTCAGCTGCACCATCGAGTTCACACCTGAGAAATGACCTTAACCTTCAATTGGTTCAGTCTTCCTAGAGAATCTGCTTTCATTTCAGTGTGAATAGTCTCCTTCCACCCCATTAAACATTAGTTATACACCAGCATGTTTTTCTTCCTTGTGCACATTCCCTTAATCACTGCTACTGCAGAATTTAACTTATTTTATAAAGCAGAAGATAAAATAAAGTACACACAATTGACTTGAGAAAACAGAAAATAATAAAATAAAAGGCAAGTCATGGAAGAAACAACCTGTGGATTTTTGCAGCTACTTCTGGAACACCGGATAAAAAACAAAACAATTAAACCAGATTAATAAAACCAAGGAAATTGTCATTGGTAACCAGCTATTTTTATTTAGTGTCAAATTGTTGAACTTATGTTTAGTTTTTATCCTTTTTTTTTATTGTGATTTTAAAAGAAATGCATTTGTTAGTAAGTAAACAGGAGTGGATGAAATCCCAAATATCCACAATGCATACTACTGACCTGATGGATAACAGAGATCAATGGGGGGGGGGGGCTAAATTAAACAGCCTCTGAAAGCTTCACTGGGAAGGATGAGGGAGAGCGACAGAAACAAAGGCTGACATAGCAAAAACAAAATGCTTTTTTCCACTCCACACTTCATAAGACATCGACTCAATCTGACCAGTTTTTCAGAAAATAAAGCAACATAGACTTTTTTTTTTGCTTGTTGTTTCTCTTTCTTTCTAAGAGCTGCGACACAAAGCAGAGGAATAAAGCAGGATTTACAGTAAAACTGATCCTTTATCTTTTCACATTCTGATCTGACAACAATATTATCAAACAAAAGTTTAAAATGATTCAAACTGCCACAAATGTCTTCTACCTTAAAATATACTTTCAATCCTTTGGCTTTCAGGGATCTTTTCTTTGCACTTTTAATGTAATTGGATGGAACAACACATGGGCACCTCTAGCCTTAACCCAAAACAAAAAAACTGTTCTCCTCACCGAGGGAAATGTGTATATTATGTTAAGCCTTAGAACATGAAGAAAAAAGCAGTATGTTCCATTAGATGCAAAGTTTCTCATGTTGACAAAATATTTTCTTCCATGTATAACACTGATCCCTTTGCTGTATTGTGACGTGCCAATAAAGTGTTCATATAGTTTCTACCTCTCTGTTTTTTTTTCCTTCTCTCTAACTTTATGTTTGATGGCACTGGCAAAGACCATCAAGAGTCTAAACTCTCTGAAAAGCTGAAGCGTTTCCCTCTGGGATTCAGCTTCATTATTCATATTCAACACACAGAGCCAACATGATTATATGTATATGCTACTCTGTTAGCAGGTGCTACACTAGTGGAGTAAGTAAAGACGCACCGATTCAGTTTTTTCCTACCAGACCCAAAATACCTGGGCTGAATGCATCAGTTGATATGATATCCCATACCGATCTGAATAAAATGTTTTTTAAATTAACCGTATAACTTGCCATGTGAGTAAAGGTCTTACCCTAGACATAAAAATTGTTTAAAAAAAAAAAAAGGTAACAGTATATATTACATTATTTATTAACAAATAAGCACTAAAAAGAAAGAAAAAAACTGTTCCATGTAAAGTGCACTAAATTGGATCTCTGATATCTCATATCTCTCTTTAAAATTGATACATTTTCTTTCAATTGTTAAACATCTTCGTGTTTAAATGTAAAGTTTATGTAATATATTGATTAACATAAACTGTTGCTGATAACTGTTATCGGAGTAATATCAAGTTATCACTTGATCAAATCTTTTCTAACATTTTACTATTAAATAAGGTGTGTAAATTTCGTGCTGATATTGTGTAGTGTCAAAAATCAAAGCTGCAATATCAGTATTGTGTTGGAAAGATAAAAGCTGTCTGGGAAAACTCCCAGTTTAATATATTCCACATGTAACTACTGGATCCATTGTCCCACACTGTTTTTATTTTAAGCTGTTATTTTCATTCTGTTGCATAATATTTGTGTTTTCCCATTTAAAAAAAAAAGATAAAATAATCCAAATCACAAACATGAGACAAGGACCATGCAATCAGTACAGAGAAATGATAAGGAGTCAAAATGCTAGTTGGCTATTTAGGTAAATGTTAGAATTTACAAATATGTCTATTTAATCACATTAATCTTGTCTTTCATTGAACAGAAATAGAATATAACAGAAATGTAAGGACAGTGAAAGGTAAAGTGGGTGCAGAAGGAGATTTAAAAAAAAAATAAGATCATTTGGATAAGAGAGTTAATGAGGGGACAATTACTATAATGAAATATGTTTCATCTTCGGTTCAATGTGTCAAAAAAGCTAAGATTTAAATTCTCTTCACCCAAAGGAGATATGAGCATACTTTATAGAAAGGAATGTAATGTAGATTAAAAAATATGCTTATTGTAAGAGTAACAACACTAACATTAAAATCAGGCTTAACTGATAACATCCTTATTAGTCTGGGTCAGTTTCAGTTTCCAGCAAAATGTCGATTCTAAAGACCCATGTTAGATCCAAACTGGTGAACAGGGCAAAGAATGAGAATTTTAAAAGTCTGACAGTCTCTGAAAGTAGAAACCATTCTTATTCATAGAGCAAACTGTTTCTACACAAGTGTAAAAAAATAAAATATAATAAAATTAAGCCTGCAAAGGTTAGACAATTACCAAAGCAAAAACATGAAGTTATGGTTTTGTGTTTCTCTGTCTGTTGTCTCTTCTTCTATATTAGTTTTAAGAGCTCTCATTAGGAGAAATCAATTCCACTCTACTGGAAGTATATTCAAAGAAAGAGAATAAGAGTCAAAACTAGAGCAGATATCACTGTCAGAAGAGAGCGCCTGCCTAATGATCTGAGCCATGAATCAGATTAAAGATAAATCTGAATTCATTTAATTAGCTTACTGGGTTTAAAGGATATTATTCCAAATGTACTGACAAGAAGAAAAATATACAGCTCTTATCTTTGTATATTTATCCATGGGAAAAGATGATTTCAGCCATATTGAATGTATATATGTTTGAACATGTTTAAAAAACTTCATATATATATTTAAAAAAACCATCTTGTTTGGCTTAAACAATATATAAATATAGATATAACAAAACTAACTAAGAAAATATTTTCTAGACAACTGTTAGGTCCACAGAGACAAAATGACACCAGGAAAGAGTTGAGTTTCCTTTCAGCCAATGGAAAACTGAGAGCTACAGGGGACCTCTGAGACAAATGAGGGAACAGTGGAAAAAAAACACAGAGGAAACACACAATTCACAAAGGCCAGACACAAAGCACCCACCAGGAAATGTAATGAAGTGGGGAAAAAGTGCAACGTAGGGCAGCAAATAGAATAAATATAGTTAAGATTGATGTAGCAGATACAAATAAAATATAGATCCATAAAGGTACCCTTCTGTCTTTTACAATGATAACAGTAATTATGTCTTTTGTAATCATAATTGAGCTCCTTAAGAAGAGAGAAAAAGCCTTCTCACCTTTAACACTTGAAAAGCAATTGAACACAGGGTTAAATATAAAGCCAAAGAGTTTTAGAAACAAAGAACAAAAGTAACTCAGAAACAGTCCACTTCCTTTTTAGAAACAAAAAACACTTAACACCTAAAACACTGAACATGTTTTCAAAGAGAAGCACTATAACAGCACAGTGGAAACCAGCACAAGAAACATTGCAAAAGCTATAGTTTAAATAGCAGTTAAGGTAAATTCTGGGGGTTTAGGTCTAAACCTCCTGAAACTCAGGTCAAATAAAAGCCATGTGTTTTGTAAGTGCATAAATCACAATCCTCTTTAGAAGAAAAAAAAACTGGCAATGTAAATGTATGTTACTATTAAACTGTTAATGAACATTACGGTTCATCACCTTTGAAATTGAGACACTGTGTCTTTGATGCCTGGCTGAAATCCTCCATACAACAAACACAAATTAAAAGCCATAAATTTAACTAGTAGAAAGATTAAAAAGGGAATTGTTAACTTCACCTAATAAAAACATTAAAAATCACTGTTAAATAAAAAAAAAATATATAAAAAAAATCTTCTCAATTTTTTCTACTTAACTCCATTTAACCCCTAATTATTTTATTTTATATATAGTGCAGAAAATCAGAAGGTATTTGATCAACCTGTGTGACATGGTATTCAAATACCTAAAGTTTACAAAAGATGCTTTTATGCTTTTATTACACCAAGCAACCCAGAAGTGTTATTGACTTCCATTCAGACTGTAGTGTTTACTTTCGTTCAACAGAGGGCGCAATCTTTGTACAAAGACTAATAACTGGATGAGCTGACATATTCTAGCCTTTGTACAAAAAAATAAAGAAAAATAAAAGAAGTTATAAACACAAGATGTTTCAGAACCTACATTTTATCCCATTTCCAAAAGAGGATTTTTTTGTATTTACACATTTGAATAAAAGATAAACATAAATCAATTTTAAGATCTGAATGAGATGAAGAAAGAAAGAAACAAAGAAAAAAAAGAAACAAAGAAACAGATTTAATTGATCCACTGAGATAAAATTATGTTGTTTTCGCCAAAAGAGGTGAAAGCAGCTTTTCATCAGAATTTGTAGCAACAGTTCAAACCGTTCAACTTGCCCACCCAAAGTGTCTCATTATATGCTCACACATATGTTAATGCAGCCTCTGAGCAGCAGGGTTATTAGACAGTAACAGGAGCCACCTTGTGGACAGTGGATGTTTACTCATATGAGCAGCATCCATTTCTATTGTTTTTTACTGAAATACTAAACACTCATTACTATGTCCCGTCTTTAAGAACAGCAGGTGAGTTGATACATGGTTTAATACTCTAACATCAAACCAACATAAATACCAAACATTTGTAAAGAGTTTCTATAGAGAAAAGTGAAAAGCTAAGACACGCCGCATGATGTAGAGAGGAGAGTGTAACCATATGCTATAGCTATTTCTTAACGCAGAGATCAGAGGTTTCAGTAAAAACATAACTTTTTTTAGCAGTATATGCATAATCATTTTTCTTCTATTGCATGAATCTGAGATGCGTTGACCCCTCACCTTTTGCCAGAGTGCTTCTCTGGAAGCCAGACTGGAACAGGCAGCAACAAACCAGCAGTTTCCCAGTTGGCCTTGATGCAAGTCGTGAGCACTGATCCCATTCACAAACAGGTGAGGGTCGCTGCTTAACTCCTGATAGGAAAGAGGCAGGATGCTATTAGTATACAAAATTTCATTTGTGGCGAACAGATCTATTTCTAGGTTGAGAAATTGTTCTTTAAATGTATTAATCGTTGATGGTTGACCCAAACAGTAATTATCTGCATGTGATTAATCTAGAGCATTAAAGTCTGCTACTGTTGGTGTGGATAAATGCTGGACAGGGTGTCACCCAGAACACTCAGTCAATCATTAAGAACAGAGTAAAGAGTAAATATACAGTTCAACAATGAAAAAAAAAAGCCACTGGGAATGTGAGGCAGAGCACCTGGAGAGCAACCAAATACCAGAGCTAGGATAAACCACAGGCACACACCCAGCAGAACCAGTATGAGGCAACAGGCACTGGTGGCTTTTTTTAAATGTCTCAAACTCTGAGGTCTTGTTGGTATTTAAAACAGAAGAGAAACAGAAGCAGATGTTGTAGACCATGGATTCTGTTGCCTCTAATCAGTGCCTACTTTCCAAATATAAAACTTGGAGAACATTCAAAAGCATTTACATCGTTCCGGTCATGGAAACAACAACATAGAATCCTGGTAAATTGGCTCTTAATATAGTACAGAAAACAAAGATGAACTGTAACTCAGAGACTTCAGAGTTTTTGGTGTTTTCATAGACAGTTCAGACTTGCAGCCTGAGTTCTGATTCCTAGAAGGGGAACTTATGGTTCCACGAAAGTCTAAAACCAGGAAAAAGGAGCCGTCCTCAGCTGTACGGTAGCTCTCAGGCGAATTAGCCACTCTTTCAGCTATGCTGAATGCTTTGTAAAGAAGGGATCATATTTCAGCCTTTGTGTTCTAACATTTTTCTTTTGTTTTGCTTTTTTTTCTCTATAGATAATAACTAGAACAAAATCTTTCTAGGTTTTCCTACCCTGGTGTCACTCAGTCTCACTTTCCTGTCATCTGATCAAAAACAAGTTGAGGCAGATTGGATCCTTTTTAAGACAGGTTCAGCTGGATGCTCACACCACAGGCTGGATCATGAAA